GAGGGTTTTTTGCAGGACAATGGACATATGCAACATATGCACAATCCAGCCTTCATAGAAACTGAGTAAGGTCTCTATGCCCTTGAAGGACACAAAAGAAGGAGAACACGCTCACCAGCAGACGGTTCAGGATGCAAAGGCAGACAAGAAAACCACAGCGAGATGCATGAAGAAGAAAGACTAACTAAAATTAACTGAAATATCAAAATGCGTGCGTAAAAAGGATTTAACCAATCATGTATTAGCTTGAGGTGTGAACAATAGAGAACAGTATAAAGATGGCTTGCTTTTTGTAATAAATTGGCTTCACTTGATCATATTGATCATGGTGTGATGTCCCATTAATGATCCTCTGCACCTGGGGACCAGAAATGCATGCAAGCCTCCACCCCAAGAGACATTATGAATTCAGAAAACATGGCCATTAACTGCTTGATACCAACACAGAGTAATGGCAACCAAAATGCAGTCAGAACAGGGTTTTTTCCACTCTCTCTCAAGCCCCACACATTGGGCACCAACTTTTGTCCTGGTTTAGGGCAAATTTGGGAGAAAACCTCCAAAGGGGCTCCTCCAGGAAGCAAACACACATTGCCCCTCCCCACAACTGGGTCAGGAAGGATTCCCTGGAGAGAAGTGGAAAGAACCTGTTCATTTAACAGACAAAGCACCGCCAGCACACAAAATGAACAATACCAGGTGACAACACTCTTTCATCACTCTGAAAAAGATGACAAATTCAGAAAGTCTCTCTTGGGAGTGGTCGCTCTGTTATCAGTCCCTCCGGTGCTGGGGCAGCTGCTGCAGCCACAAGGTGCAAACTCTCGGTGTTTCCCAGGGCCCAGTCTGGAGCAATTTGAGTGGTTCCAAAAAAGGGAAAGGAAAAACAGTCCAGGGAAAAATTCAGACTGCTTAGCTAAAGTAACTAATGAGCAGAAGCAAAAGCAAGAGCAAAGCAAAAAGCCAAGCAAAAAGCAAAAGCAGCACCATTTACTGCCCCGTCTCTGTGTCCTGCCAGCCATGGGGGAGCGGCTGATAACAAAACCAAAACAAAACATTCACTCTTTAGAGCCAGTCTTGAAGGCACAGAACATAATATCCAGCATAAACAGAACACATGGATGGGGATACAAGCATCACAACGTCACCATAGGACAGTCCTGCACCCAAAATTCTGTCCTGCACCCACTGCTGCATCCTGAGTCCTGTCCTGCACCCCGAGCCCCGTCCTGTACCCAAATTCTGTACTGTCCCATACCCCAAACACAAAGCTGCCCCCAAGTCCCAACCCCACCCCTCATTCATCACCACATTCCTGTTCCACACCCTCTCTTCAACTCCTCCCCCTCTCCCACTCCTGTCCCACCCCCCAATTTATCCCCTCTCTCCTGTCCCTGATCCCCTCCCTGTTCCCTCCCCAACCCAGTCCTTCCCCGTAAGTGGGCGGCAGCAGCAGTGGCAGCTGGTGGGGGCCAGTGGAGTTGGAGGTGCTACAGCCCCTGAGCCTCCTCACCCTGGACACGCTCCAGAAGTGCATCTTCAGCCACGAGAGCCACGGCCAGGAGTGATTGTCACCTGTCCCCACTGATCATCTGTAAGAGACATTCTGAGGTTTCCCTCAGCTGCCTCACGACCACTGTGATGGACGGAGACTGAAGCCCCCTCCCAAGGGCTGAGACTGACACCCCTATAACTCTAACACAGGGGCTGGCCGGACTGAAGCGAGATGTTTGCCAAGTGTTGCCTGCAGGTGTGTTCCCTGGACCAAGAAAACAATTGGTCTCGCTCACTGCTGAGAACATGGACTGTCTGTAAACTTACCTGTTCCCTCTCGGTGGTTTCAATAGACTTACCTGTTCCCCCCCTTGGTGGAGGACTACAATAGAACCAAGACTTTGAGATTCTCCCTGACGTGACAAGACGGATCTATTGGCTGGACCACGAGGGTTTCGTCTCTCCATTGGCAGCTATTCCTCCCCTCTTTCTCTCTCTCTCTCTATCCTTTATTCTCCTTTCTAATCCTTCCATCACATCTGCTGTGGGCACTCAATTAAAGGTGCATTTGTTTTGATTAATACCAAAATCCCCTTCCGTGTTGCTTTTGCACTCTGAGATCAGTTAACGAACCATCATGACCCCCGCTTGTACAAGTGGATCATGACACCATCCTTGTGGCCCTGGTGACCCTACCATTGTCCCTGCTGGCCATCCTGGTGGCTGTGCTGGCTCTGCCATGGTCCCCACTGGCCATCCTGTCCAATCACTGTCCCTGTTGGCCATTCTGGTGGCCCCAATGGTCCTGCTATCATCCATGCTGGTGGCCACAGTGTCCCCCCATTGTCCCTGGTGCAGACAGACCAGCGAGTACATCCTGCTGCTCACCAAGGTGGGGCTGGGGTGGTGGCCATGGGGCATGAAAGTGGTCAAGAGAGTGGTGGTGGCCATGGAAGGATTGGCCATAGAGGCCAGTAGGATGCTGGTGGCCATGGGAGGCTTGGGCATAGACTGGTGGCCACAGGGGAACAGTGGTGGCCATGGGCAGCACTGACCATAGAGCTGGTGGCCAGTGGGATGGTGGTGCCATAGGGTGGTGGCCATGGATGGGATTTGGCCCCAGGTGGCCACAGACTGGTGGCCCCAGTGGCCCGTGGCTCCTCTTGCCCCTGCAGGATGAGAATGGCCGCACCCTATCGGATGAGGACATCGCGGCTGAGGCTGACACTTTCATGTTTGAGGGTGAGCACGAGCTCACAGGTGCCATTGGGGAGGAGCCACTCCAGTGTCCCCTCACTCACCCAGTGTCCCCACAGGCCATGACACCATGGCCTGGCATGGCTCTTCTACAACCTGGCCGGCCATCCTGAGCACCAGGAGCGATGCCACCAGCAGGTCCAGGAGCTCCTGGCTGGCCGGGACACTGCGGACATTGAATGGTGAGACGTCCCCAGGGCCACCCTGGTCATGTGGCTCGGGGACACAGTGCCACCCCCGCTTGTCCCCAGGGACGACCTGTCCCAGCTGCCCTTCACCACCATGTGCATCAAGGAGAGCCTGCGGCTGCACCCTCCTGTCACTGCTGTGTCCCGGCGCTGCACCGAGGACATCCCCCTGTGTGATGGCTGTGTCATCCCCAAGGGTATGGCATGGCCAGGGTGTCCCCAGTGTCACCACCCACCCTCATCTGCTGTCCCTAAAGTGGCCATTCCCATCCCACCAGGGGTCATCTGCCTGATGAGCATCTACGGGACCCACCACAACCCAGACCTCTGGCCCAAGGCTGAGGTAGGGTCATCCTATGAGGTGTCCCTGTCACCATGGTGGTGACAGCTGTGTCCCCTCAGTGTGACTGTGTCGGTGTCACCCCAGGTGTTCAGTCCTCTAAGGTTCAGTCTGGAGAACAGCAAGGAACGGTCCCCGTCGTCCTTCGTCCCCTTCTCTGCTGGCCCCAGGTATGTGCTGGAGTGGGGACAGGAGTGTCCCCAAATGTCACCCCTGTCCCTGGCTGGGTTCACAGTTGGGTGACAATGGGGAGGAGCAGGGAATAAATGGTAGCATGAAAGGGACAGCATCATGGTGGTGGTGGGGATGTGTTGTCCTTGGCCATGGGACACCCCATGGCATGGACACGTCAACCCATGGACTTGTCTCTAGGCCAGTTGTGTCACCATCCATGGCCATGTCCCCCATGTCCTCCTCCATGGCCATAGAGCCCCATGTCACCATCTCTATCTGTGACACCCCCCATGCCCAATATCGCCATCCACGGCCATGTCCTTGTCCCCATCCCCACCATATCCCCACCATATCCCCATCCAGGTCCTTGTCCCCATCCCCACCACATCCCCACCCAGATCCTTGTCCCCATCCCTACCATGTCCCCACCCATGTCCCACAATGTCACCATGTGTGTGTGAGTTAAATGTCTTTATATTTACCCCAATGTTGGGTGAAGGATAATGAAAAATGAAAGAAAATAAAGGCCAAAATAAAAGCATTTACATGTCCATGCTGGCTGAGTATCCGTGTGCCTGGGCGGGTAGAAAGGACCTTTTCTAGAAAGATTTCCACTCCATTGTCTCCAAAATCCTGGGTTTGGCCCCAGTCAATCACCATTTGGCTGTGGAAGATGCTGGTGGGCCAGAGAGAATTAGAATCATGGAACGATTCAGGTTGGAAAAGACCTCCAACACCATTTGGAATTCTAGATGCCACCCGAAAAATGATAGGATGCAAAAGATGAGACTTTTTTGGGGTCGAAAGTAAAAAACTGTGCTGTCCCCTGTGAAATTCTGATGTCTGTTTGCATCCCAATGGATTTTTCTCTGGCCGTGTCCAAGTGCCCAAGGGGAGCCAGGAAGACGTGGAGACCACCAGCCAGGTGTCTTCCCAACATGGATCACCAGGACCATGGATGACCAAGTCTCTGCACAGCGAGGGTCACTGTGGACCATCCAGTGGGGGTCCCCAATGGGGGATGGAGTTGAAGCAGCGCTCAAAGCTCTTCCTGTCACTGCAGGACACAAAACAACACGAGCGCACACACTGCTGCTCTCAAGGGGAAGAAAAGGGAAGTTTATTTCCTGACTCCAACATTTATAATTTTCTAAAAGCGACCGTGGATTGGAGGGTGAAAGTGCCACCTCTCCAATGACACTGGACAAACCAACAGTCCATCAAATTTTTCTTCTTCTATAAAAGAATGCCAAACAAGAAGTTATTTACAGAAAGTGTTTGAGAAAGTTTGCTACAAGAATGTAAACATTAGAAGGCTCAGAAAATCTTTAAAAATCAAGGTAACACTCTTCCTGCACACAGGGCACCTGTTGGGCATCCCTTACTGCTGCCTCCCTTGGTGCTGGGTCACGGCAGAGTTCTGGGAGAAGCTCTTCCCACATTTGGGACACTGTCAGGGCCTCTCCCCAGTGTGGATCCGCTGGTGGGTGACGAGGGTGGAGTTTTTCTAAAAGCCCTTCCCTGCAGTCAGGGCAGCAGAAGGGCCTCTATTCTGTGTGAATCTGCTGATTGAGGAGATGGTATCGGCTCTGAAACCTGTCCCCACACTCAGAACACTCATAGGGTCCCTCCCCAGTGTGGATCCTCTGGTGGGCAATCAGCTTAGAGTTCTGACAGAAGCTTTTCCCACATTCCCCGCACTTGTAGGGCCTCTCCCCGGTGTGGATCCTCTGGTGGACACTCAGGCCGGAGGGGTCGATGAAGCTTTTCCCACATTCCCTGCACTTATAGGGCCTCTCCCCAGTGTGGATCCTCTGGTGGGCATTCAGATGGCAGCTCTGCCTAAAGCTTTTCCCACATTCCCTGCACTTGTAGGGCCTCTCCCCAGTGTGGATCCTCTGGTGCAGAATCAGGCTGGAGTTCTCAATGAAGCTCTTCCCACACTCTGAGCACGTGTAGGGGCACTCCCCAGTGTGCATTGTCTGGTGGATGATCAGGCGGGAGCTGTCACGGAAGCCCTTCCCACACTCCCCACACACAAAGGGTCGTATCCCAGTGTGGATCATCTGGTGGAGTTTCAGGCTGGAGCTCCTCCTGAACCCTTTCCCACATTCTCCACATTTATAGGGCCATTCATTGGTGTGGATCCTCTGGTGGGCGATCAGGTTGGAGTTGATCCTGAAGCTCTTCCCACATTCCCCACACTTGTGGGGCCGTTCATTGGTGTGGATCCTCTGGTGGACGATCAGGTGGGAGCTGATCCTGAAGCTCTTCCCACATTCCCCACACTTGTGGGGCCGTTCATTGGTGTGGATCCTCTGGTGGGCGATCAGGTTGGAGTTGATCCTGAACCCTTTCCCACATTCCCCACACTTGTGGGGCCGTTCATTGGTGTGGATCCTCTGGTGGACGATCAGGTGGGAGCTGATCCTGAAGCTCTTCCCACATTCCCCACACTCATAGGGCCGTTCCCCGGTGTGGGTCCTCTGGTGGATGAGCAGGTGGTCGCTCCTGCCGAAACTCTTCCCACATTCCAAGCACTGGTGGGGCTTCTTGCCATCATCAAGCTGCTCATGGACCACCACCTCAGCGCTCTGGCCAGATCTCTGGCTGCCTTCCTGGCTCAGGCTGAGTCTTTCCTCCTCGGAGCACCCTGGGCTGGGTTTGCAGCCCCTCCTCCTGTGGGATCTCCGGGGCTTTTCCGCCCCGGTGGATTCCTGTGCCCTGGAGCCACTCAAAACGGCCTCTGCCACGAGGTTCTGCTGTGGGGATTTGTCCTCCCTGGTCTCCATCCTCAGCTCCTTCCCTGGGGGAGGAAGGACAAGAAGAGGATGGGATTTGCCTCCGTGCCACAGGGAAGGGGAAGGAGATCCCCCCAGTGCATCCCTGGCTGGACAGCATCAGCAGTGGGGCTGTGCTGCAGCTGGGGCCGTGCTGGGCTGGGAGATGGAGCAGGACAGAGGGGAAAAGGGGCACTGACTTCCTCCTCACCTGCCTCAGTGCCCTGGGGCATCTTCCTCTTCCTCACAGCCTTCTCCATCCAGATGAGGTTTGGGAATGGGAAATCCTGATTTGGGGGAAAAACAAGATGTGAGTGCATTGCCTTCGGAGGTCCCACTGGGCAAGTCCATCTCTAGAAGTCACCGGGTGTCTGGCGGCCAGAAATACCTCCAAAAATCAAGGAGTCCAAAAACCTCTCCCAGGAGTTCCCTGTTTCCAGTGTCCTCACTTTGGGGTTATGGGGGTCCCTCTTCTCAGAGCTGCTGGGGGGGCTGTGGGTCCTGGGCATTCCCCCTCTCCCGGGTCCTGCTCAGACATGATGAGGGGGTTTTGGGGTGTCCCAGGGGTCACCCTCCCCTGATTCTGTGGAAATTGTTTTTGTGATTTGTGCCAATTGGCAATGGAATCAGCAAATGCTTCTATCTGCTGTGTCCAAAACAGACACAAAGAAAGGTTTTGAAACTTTCTGACCAAACAGCCAAAAAAAGCATCAAAATCAAAGAAGTATAGTAGAGCAAAAGAGATGAGGTAGCAAGATGACTGATGCTTAGAACAAATTAGAGGAAGTTGGGGTAAAGCTAAGAGATATTGCAACAAAGCAATTAAAAGCTTATGTATAATAAAAAGCTTGATGTACTTGACAAAATCATGTAGCAGACACCAGTGTAAGGCCTCCCTCCAGACAACCACAAGGATAGGAATCAAGGACAACCTAGAAATATTATGAAATTACTGCTCCCAGCTTATTGATATTTGCTAATTTGGACTAACCAAGCACATTGGAAAATGCTTTGTAGGCTTAAAAACAGTATATATACTTTACTGAACTGTGTGTGCTGTGAGTGGAGCAGTGACTCCCCGGCCACCCAGCGCTGCTTGCTTGCTTTAAAATAAAAGGTATAGAAATAAAATTTGGATTGACCATGGAAATTTTATATCAGGTGTTCCAGGGTCCCCTTTCCCCAGCATCCCTCCACTCCAGGCACTCAATGCTTCCCCTGCTCCCCTTTGCATTCCTGAGATATCCAAAAATATTCCCTCATCAAATGAATTAAAAATACCTCTCTCAGCGACACCAAAATATATTTGGGACTCAACTCCTGTGAAAAACGCCAATCACTTGTTTTTAAAATTTTAAAAGTTTAATAGTAATAAAATAGTTCTACAAATACTAATACAATTAGAGTAATAATAATTTGGACAATTTGAATTAGGACAATACAAGACAACAAATATAAAGAGTTACGGATGACTGGGTACCTTTTTCTGGGCAGCACGAGCGCGAAAAAGGACACCCATTAGCAAAGGATTAACCCTTAAAAGCAATAACCCGTTGCACATTCATACACCTCATACATGATGCATAAATTCCATTCAAACACAGGATTCTGTCTGGCCATCATCAACCTCTTCCCTCTAATCCTAACAGCCCCTTTGAGGTGGGAAGAAGTTCGTTTCTTCTGATAAGAGAGCAATAAATTCTTTTCTCTAAAAGATTTAGGTGTCCTGTGGCTGCTATCTGGTGTGAGTGCCTCATTCCTTTCTTTAAAAAATCCCCACTAACATAGTTCTTCTTTTAACTGCAAAAGTTACCTTTTAATTACAAGACTACATTTATTATTAAACTGTTAATACAGCACTACTAATCAATACATCAAAATACATATGGTAAATGTGAAAATGCCTGTATTTTATGATTGGCTTTTTGCAAATATTAAAATGAATATTATATGTGTTGTGTTAGAAAGTAATGCTGTATTAATTCTCTTAAGTACCGTGTTAAATATAGTTTTAGGTTATAAAAATTGTTAACACAGAAACAATGCTATGTAGGATACTTTTTTAAAGAAAGGACTTGCAGCAAGATAGCAGCCACAGGACACCTAAATCTTTCAGAGAAAAAGAATTTATTGCTCTCTTATCAGAAGAAACGAACTTCTTCCCGCCTCGAAGGCGCTGTTAGGATTCAGAGGAAGAAGCTGACACTGACCAGAACCACAGAATCCCGTGTTTGAATGTTTGAATGGAATTTATGCATCATCTATGAGGTGTATGAATATGCAATGGGCTATTGTTTTTAAGGGTTAATCTTCGTTAGCGGGGGTCCTTTTTTGGGCTTGTGCTGCCCAGAAAAAGGTACCCAGATGTCCGTAACTCTTTATATTTGTTGTCTTGTATTGTCCTAATTCAAATTGTCCAAATTATTATTACTCTAATTGTATTAATATTTGTAGAACTATTTTATTACTATTAAACTTTTAAAATTTTAAAAACAAGTGATTGCCATTTTTCACACACCATGTTTGCTTAAAACAATGCTTGCTTATTTCGAATACAATACCTGCTTGTAAGTCTTAAAACACAATGCACTGAGCTCCATTCTTAAGCTTCAACTTTCCTAATATCTTGCTAAATAAACTTTCTGCAGCTTAGAGAGCTATTCAGACAAGCGTTAATATACAGGCCATTGTTCTATTTGCCTTTGCTTTTTCTACAGTTTAAACAATTTTTCTGCTGACCTATCTCATGGCTGTGCTCTACTCACAGTTCTGCTGTCTCTGAGGCCTGCCTTTTGCAGCTTTCCCAAAAGACTCTGATTCTATGGATTCCCACAGTAAATATCTGCATAGACCCATACAATACGCACTTTTCACAACTCCGGAATCGGCAAGGTCCAAACCCCAGCAGAATCCCCCTCTTCCCCCCCCAAAAACCCTCCCGGAGCTGCCGCTTCCCCTCGGCGCTCACCTGCAGGACGCGGGACAATGCGATGCTGCCGGGCCCAGCCGAGCTGCGGGCTCGCCGTGGAACCCCGCAATGCTCCTTGCCCTGCTGCTGCTCCTCCTCGGGCTGCTCCCCTTCGTGCTGCTCCTGTTCCTGCTCCTCCCCTTCCCCTCTCCCTCCCCTTCCTCCCGCTCCAAGCCCGGATCCCCCTTTCGCACCCCCTGTGCCCCACGGCCGCAGCAGCGCCGGCTCTGGGGTGTTGGGGAAGATGAAACAGGAAAGCCTTACAAATATGATTGTCTGGCAAAAGATTTTGAGAATATGGAAACTATAAGCGAGATTGAAATGAAAGCAAGCTATGAGATCCCTCAGTTACTGAACAACGGGAAAACAACGGTGTGGCCGCTGAAAGTAACCCCCTTTTGATGGAACAATTCCCTCTGCTTGCAGGCAGGTCCCAGGGTCAGAGCAGCCCCTACTGAAGGGGTCCACAGAGGAGTTTTTAGGGTTTAAAATGTAGCACAGGATGGTAATGTAATGATTCTTACAGGTGGTATGGAAATGCTGTAGGATTTGTATCTTGTACTAGATTGCTTAGTGAGAATCAGAATATTCAACACAGAAGATTTATTATATTGTAATGGGAACTTTGCTGTTTTAGCTCTTACCTCTCTTACTCTTGCTCTTACCTCTTGTCTCTTAGCTCTTGCCTTAGATGCTCTTATCCCTTTTACTCTCTTACGCTTTTACTCTCTTACCTTCTCATCCTCTCTTCCCCCTCCTCTCTCGGGCCTGCTCCAGCTGTGGCTGCAGCTCCCAGCAGGGCCCTGCACCCAGGCCCTTTGCAATAAACCCCAAATCCCAGCAGGGCCCTGCAGCCAGGCCCTTTGCAATAAACCCCAAATCCCAAAAGGCCCCTGCAGCCAGGCCCTTTGCAATAAACCCCAAATCCCAGCAGGGCCCTGCAGCCAGGCCCTTTGCAATAAACCCCAAATCCCAGCAGGGCCCTGCAGCCAGGCCCTTTGCAATAAACCCCAAGTTCCACGACCTGGCTGCAGAGATCTCTCATCTCCGTCCATCCCGACCGTGCTACCCCCATCAATCCTACACTGGGGTAGGTGGGGGAAACCCCCAGAGTCCCCAGTGATGGGCAGGGGGCTCAGGGCTTGGGGATTAAGATGTACTTGTAATTTTGTTGTTATGTCTAGGCTCTGAAGCAGGGTTTGTCATTGTTGTGGAAGCAAGATTTGTCAGGACGCAGGACATCCCTCTGGCTGTCCTGAGCAGCCCAGACCCCTGCCAGGGGGCTCAGAGACCCTGGCACAGAGCCCAAAATGCCCCTGTGGTTTTGATTATGACCCATGGAGCAAATTACCAATCTGGTATGAAGATCAGCAAGCCACAACACTTTATGTAGCATATTGGTGAAGTTATTACAGGATGGAAAAGTAGATTTTAGGGTTTTTGGTATGGGGGTTCAGTAGGAAGATGGAGGGAACTGGGTGTGTCCAGCTTTCTCCTTCTTCTTGGCCTCCCTCTTCTGCTGTGATGTTGGCACTTACCAATTGGTTTAGAGTAGAAGCTCACTGTCTAACATAGGTGATAGGTATTGGAAAGTAATTGTAAACATTGTATATGTCGTTTTTAGTATAAAGACATAATACTGCCCTGGGGGAGGCAGAGTGCTTGGAACTGTCTTGCTGAGCTCACCTTGGCAGGACAGGAGAAAATTTTTTATAGGTAAGATAAAATAAACAACCTTGAGACTGAGAAATGAAGAGCCCCGACTCCTTCTTCAAGCACCAGACTGGGAGAAGTGACTTTGGAACTTTTCTCAGGGTCACTCTGACCAGCCAGAGATCCTGACAAAGATTA